TGAGAATTGCCTAGTTACCGTCTTGTTAATTACAACGGCAACGGTAGCCATGGCGACCGATCGTAAAAGAGAATTGGCTGTCGCCGGTCACGTGCGCACAGTACACAGCGCCACCTTCGGCAAAATGGAAGGGAAATAAAGATGAGATGGCGATAAGCTTTAAGAACTTTAACGCGATTGGAGATTAAAGACTAAATTCCCGTTATTTAAAAAAAAATACGCTTTAATTTCGCATTTATCTACTAGAAAAATATCAAAATTCTTAAAGGAATTTAATATAATCGCCATTGAGAAATTTTTTTTATCGCCTTAAGACGGGTGATTTCTATACTTCGAGTGGACTTAACTCTTCTATTTGAGTGTATATTAAATATAAATATTAAACTATACATCTGGTAATTAGTCTGTGTGTTTGTCTACTCGCTTCTAAACTGTCTTATTGTCAAAAAAATGATGTATTTAACTCCGATAAAACCCTTTCAAAACTTATTTATATAGATCTAGTAGTTAATGAAGTAGTTGAAGAGTCTTTCATTGTTGTAATGAGAATTCTTGATGTATTGACCGAGTTAATGGGTTTTGCCCAACACACGACCTATACAAAGTCTACTCTACAGGCCAACATTTGTTTCTAATTTTTTCTCTAGCTCTTATAAAAGAATTGAGAGGGAGAAAGTTTATTAAAGGGTTGGAAATGTCATCTAAAAATATCGACCCAGCTGTTGTACGTCCAGTTATTAAAGCAGTTTAATTTAAAAGCTATCATTTCTATTCTGCCTCATTAAATTTATTGCTGTTAACGTTATTTTAATCAACATTCAATGTAGATAATTAATGCTATTGGAATCGGGTTCTTGGTTGTCAAATTTGTCACATCTTCCTCAACTCCAATTAATTATCGAATATTCTAAAATTAAAATATCGAATTTTTTAACGTATTCTGTTACGTATCAGCTTCAAAATAAGCCAAGTTGTATGCTCGATTGTCGTTTAATTTTCTCCACGAAGATAAACAAAGCTTTGTAAACTATTTTCTCTTTTATTTCGGAACAAATTTCTTTCGGGGGTTTACATCTTTGGAAACTAACTGTGTGTGTAAATAGAATGTTACAATCATTATGTACAGTTTGAGGATGTTTTAATTAAATTTTCTAACTTCAAAATTAATTGTAACGTTTTGAAATTTTCACATTTAATTTGCAATGTCAACTTAGGGATTTTCATGACGAATTAACGTATTATACAGGTTAAACTTTTATCTCTTTTCCTGGATTATTTTAGCAAATTTCTCATCTATCGATAATGCTTAATTTTAAAATATAAATAATTAATTACACTTTTTTTCTTCTCCCCTTTAAATTATTGGAATATTTTTAAAAGAAAAACAACAGGAAGAAGTTCTTCCCTTTTTTTTAATAATGAGAGGTGAATAAGTAATCGAAGAAATATCGAAAAACCAATGATTTTTAATGCTAATCTTTGTTAAAAGTGCAGGCCAGAAATGATTAATTAGTTAAATTTTGGATTATGAATTATGATTAATCTTTCCAGGCAGAATCGATCATAATGTGATATCTAATTAAAGTTTATGAGTAAAATTCATTTTTTTCTCTACTCCCTTGCAAGCGTGATTATATAGATATTGGGGGAACTTTTGATTTTCCTGGATATATTTATCTTAACTTACGAGCGGGAGTGCGCACTATACGTGGTTCCAAGAGTTAAATTCGCTAAAATTAACCGTATAAGAGTGTGTATTTTTATTTCATACCAATATAAATGGCATAATACAATTAAATTTGTCTTTTTTCTGCTCGTAAGTGTAATTATACAATCGTTAATGCTTTTAAAATTGCTTTAAGCATCCTTCTTAAGCTTAGTTTATGATAAAAGATATTTTAAAATGTTTTAGAATCATTAAAAACAAGAATATTATAATTAAATATCAATTTTTCTTCTACAATTGATAAGCGAAATATTAGAAAAGTCTTGATTTGATCGAATATTTAAACGAATGAGCGCGTTATACGCGATTTAGGTATTAAAATGGCTGAAATTAATCATTTTTAGCTGCTGTAAGTGATAGCTTTTATAAAAAATAGAACAAAAATACCAGAAAGAATAAAAAATATTCCACGTATAAGCAATACAAATATACATTTTACCAATATAATAAATAAAGCTGGGTTTACGGCATCGAAACTTCAAAAATTAACCCACTCTCAGCATTTTTTTACATGTTAAACGAACCTTATGCTTGTATAAAATGCAAAGTAATAACCAACTGTTAGCGAATATCTCTATAGTAAACTGAAAAATACAGTTTAAACTATTCATAAATTTATATATTATCCAATAATACCGAATCCATCAATAAGATGATGATAAAGAGTTAACAACAGTATCAATAACCAGCATTTTACTATAAATATTAATAATAAAGAAACGTTTAGAAAATAAGATGGAGAAGAGAGATTTACGTTCGATTCTCTAGAGTATTTAATGGGATAAAAGATGCAAATGGAAATATTCCGTGCTGTTGAATAGCTTTCTATGCAAGAGAATTCAAAGAAAGAAGCGAATTCCACTAACTTTATTCAATTTATATCGACAAATTCTTGAAAAACAGGAGGATATTATTGAGAAAATAAACTTTATGTGTTACTATAGTTGGAAAATATAATTAGATTCTACAGATAGAGTAGATCTAATGTCAACTAAGGGACCGTTTCTTTAAAGTTTGCACAAGATAAATATTTGTTACTGGTTATATTCAAAGTACGTACTGTTACCCTCATAGGGGAGGGTGCGTTAAGTGTTTTATGTATGAAAAACTATAGCGTAACAAAGATATAAATACAAAAACAAAAAGAAAAAAAGCAGCTTACCTCTGAAACCATTTTAACGTTTAATATAATAAAGAGAATAATCTCCATAAATAAAAGGAATTTAATAGGAATCAATAAAATGAAAGTTGGAGTCTCTAGAGAGAGATGGACGAATAAATTTTCTGAATAATGAATTCGGCTTGTCTTGAAATTTTTCTTGAATTATAAATTAAAAATCTGTCAAAAGTTACATAGCAATTAATTCTCTTTTAAAAAATATTACTTAAATAATAATAATAATAATAATACGGTAATAATAATAATATAATTTCGAGTTAAAGCTTAACAAAATTCATCTTTCATCCGTTCATTTCGCTGACAAAAACAGGAATTTGTTAAACTTCATACACGAATATTCTATATTAAAATCAAGCAATCATTCATTTGTAATTCGGTTTCTGAATTTTGTAGAGAGTTGATCGTGCCATAAAAAAAAAGAGGAGAAAAAGTAGAATTTCTGATTATCTAATTCTCTAAAGTAAAATGAATGATGCTGCATTTAAACAAGAGAAAAATAAGGGTAAAAGAAACTAAGTCATAATTCTTCCAAGCTTGAAAATAGACCATTAAAATGTAGCTAGTTACGTTACCTTAAGGTTACTTTATATATAAAAAAAATAATATAAATATAGTTTTTTTTATGTCGAAAGTACATTATACGATCAAAGAAATGTTAGTTTTATCGGTAAACCTGCAATAAAGTTTAAAAGTTTGTTTACCAACCTCATAAAAACCTTTCTTCTCGGGATAGAAAATTAAGAAAGTGCAATTACATCTGCAGCATCCCATTCGAAAATATTAATGACGAAAACTGATAAGTATGACGAATGGATAGAAGACGTTATAACAAGAAAATGCGGATTCAAGAGGAGGAAGATGAGGAGAAGAAAAAAAAAAGAGAGAGATTTTAATGACATCTAACATAATCCAATCTGTGATTTGTTCGGATTTGAAAGGGCAGATTACAAAATTCTCGAAAACTGTTAAGAATATGAATGGGAAATCTGTTAAACAGCTATCGATTGTAAGCTTTAGGAGTGCATAAAGCAATTCAAATATCCGCTAATATGTCATCTAATGACTTCCAACCATTCAAACTGAATTAAGCATCTTCGCGGCTATAAATTAATGCAAATGAACCGTTTAATCATATTTTAAAGTGAAAATTTCTCTAGAGAACGGATAAAAATGAACAGATTATTCATCCCCGTTATCTATAGTATCCATATTAAAATTTTATGAATTAAATATATATTTTCGCTCCTAGTTTTAAGGAAACTTAAACATTTAAAATTTGATAACTGAATTTTAACAGGGAGGGGGGTTTGCAATTATGTGTAGAAGGCAAGTAGTTAATTGTTAAAAGCTGTTCGGAATTTGTGAATATTAAACGGATGCTAATCAGTTTGGCTTTAGATTTTGTATGAACAAACAAAATTAACTATTCGACCTTTCAACAAGAAACAATGGCAAGTTTTAGAGGTTAAAACTCGACAATTTCTCTTATCTACAATTGACTTTAGAAGGAAAACAAAAGATAAGTTTAATCGTTTATGCCATCTTAAGTTGGGAAACTAATGTTTTAAGTCTCAAACCTGCAATTATCTTAGGTGTTTTCCACGTTACTTTATCTACCTTCGGGACTTTAACATACAAACATTCCATTCGTAGTTAGTTGCTTAACCTATAATTTCATCCAGTCACATATTTAAAACGAAATACTCGTCCCTAGGAGCATCTAGTTAATCAATATAATTTCTATATTACTTCTACGTTAAGGAATTCACAAGAAGAGTGCGCATTATACGCGGTAATCTTCCCCCTCCAGTTAAAAACTCGTTTAATTTTAAAAGATAGTACGAAGTAAGGGGTGAAGGATAAGAAATAATTTTATTTTTTTAATTTTTCCTCACGTCAAATTCTTCTAAGTAATGTTATTTTCTATTTTTGCCTAGAGGACAGTTTCAATTTAGTGTATCTGAATCCGTCACTGCTGATATTCTACCAACAGGAACCGTGATCGATGAATATTACCATCCCCTCATGGGACATACTACAGTCATTTCCCTTAAGCTAAAACATCATCCTTTAATGGGACAAGTCTGCTTGTTAAAAATATATATATATTTTTTTTTTTTTTTAATTTTTTTTTAATGTATAGAATGCTAATCATTGCCTTCGAGTTGTGTGTGTAAATATTAAATTCTGCACTTTTTATTTACAGAAAAATTCCAGGTTTTGGTGCAGGTTATACACTTTAAATATTCTTAATTATTGTTTTTTTTTACTTGTAAATATATTTAGGAAGCATTTTAACTGAGTAATGTGCGAAAAAATCGACTTTTTCTTTGTAAATTAACGTGTAAAATTTAATATTTTCTTATATAAAATATCAGAATTTCGTGTAGGAAAAAATATTGAATTTTTTCACGTTGTTTCTGGTGAATTATTCTCTTGAAATATTGCTAAATTAAATAAGTTTTCGTTAAAGAAAAAGAAATATATACAAAATAACCTCTAAACAACGGCCAGTTCTTACGTTCCATTCAGTTGCATTGATTCAGAAGTCCGAATGTATTAAATTTTGCCAGCTTTTTGCCGCATTAACACACTTAAAATATATCCTTCCTTTAAGGAAAATAAAAGAAAAACTGAAGAATAAAAATAGTTCAAAATCCTCAACAAACCTCGATTAAGTTTTAAAAGATTTTTAATGTTTCTAAATCTTGTCAAATCTTTACAATTTATTTAGTTTTTTTTTTTTTAATTATTTTCTTTCGAATTTTTTAAACATGTTGAAAACGTCACCTCTTGATATTTAAAGTAGAATACATTTCTTAAAGAAATTCAGTTGATAAACTATCAAATTTGATCCGTATTGATCTTATTCTTATTTATAGAAACGATTTATCATACATTTGAAATTTTACTCAAGTCCAAGTTTGAATTTTTTTCTTTCATTTTTCTGTGTATATTTTTTTAAATAAAAAATGGAGAGAGTGAGAGAGAGAGAGAGAAAGAGCAATTTAACTAATTATTAAAACCAATAAATAAAAATCTAGCCTGAAAAAACGCAAAATTCTTTGTAAAGTTCGAGCTTAAAATTCCTCAAACATCGATAGAATGGAGAAGAATAGTCAACAACATCTTAAAAAATATTTGAAAGACTTGGAAAAAGCTTATATATATATATATATATATTATATATTTGTATATATATTATAGAAGGAATGAGACACTTTACAAGCTTTATAATATAATAAATAAGTCATTTTTATCGAATTTTTCAACCCTTTACGTCATAAATCGATTTATAAATTAACAAAGAAACATAAACCAACAAATAACAATATATATATATGTGTGTATGTATACATAAAACCCTGACAATTTGCCCGAACAAATTACAAAAACAAGAAAAAAACATCCAATAAAAAATGTATAATTTTTGGTCAGTTTTAATTAAACCATGCTTCGAATATTCTGTTTTGGCCACCGGCAAGCACCTGGAAGTCGTCATTTTCTTATTTTTGGAGGTTTTTTTTCGAACGAGAAAATTATGGAAGTCCTTTTTTTTTTTTAATGTAGGTACCACTTCAACTCGAGTGCATTAAAATCGGTACCAGAGAACTTCCAGGAATAAAGACGGAATCAACTGATGCATGGCAGTATCTTGTCTCTCGTGTAAAGAAATTCCGGTAGTTTCCACAACCTACGACACTACGGAATTTGCCCTATTGTTACGTTTCGACAATGCAAAAATCTGGGGGATACTTTCATACCCGTAAGTGCTCATCCCTTTTTTTTTAAATAGGTATTAAACAACAACAACATTGTTTATGGAAAGAATATTTTGTTCATCTAAAGTGGGGGATTGTACTAAATCCTATCACACGACTAATTTGTCCGAAAGAGTATTTGGTTTCTTGTTTCCCCCCGAAATTTTAAATACTAGAATTCACAGATTACATCCCTTCTAGAAAAATGACAGAAAGAAAAATTGAAATTGTACTTTTTAAATTTATTTTTTTTTTCGTGGATGTTTGTTTGTGTTTTGTGTTTGAGTTTAGGTGTGTGTTTATGATGTGTTCCCCTCTGGGTTCAATCTAAACGCTTCAAACGACGAATACCATTAGACATCTTGAAAGAATTACAACCACGACACGAGTCCCTGCTTCTCGATGTTGTACCCCACTGTAAAAGCAGAATGTTCTTTGTCAGAAGCTGTTCCTGTACCAGAGTTGCAGCGTACCAGAGTGGAGCGTATTCGAGTGTGATCAGTCCTACGAGATCGAAGTCGAAAGGGGTATAGTCCCACGGGCACGCATTGAAGTAACGCAAGACGTAACCAGTAGTGAATTCCCAGATGTATGTCCACACCAGATAAACAATACCGCGGAGTAAAATGTGCATCTTTCCTTCCAATCTGAGATACATCTGCTCGATGACGAAACCGCACAGGGCGTAGATGAACAGCGACCATACGCTGGTGCATCCTGGAAACTTCCAGTTGGTGTTCACCACAAACTCCCAAGCGGCTGTGAACATCACTTCCGTGACGTAACCATGTATACCGTAGATGTACAACCGAACGATAGGGGATAGTCCACCATGGGCAGCCATATCTGAAAAATAAAGATAAGTCGAGTCAAAATGGCATTTTCGTTGAAAAAATTAAGGATCTCGTGGTTTAAACACGACAAAATTAAGTAAATCTAATGTATGTTATGCCCTTTAACTATCAAAATTTTAATTATTATGAAATTTTTTAAATCAAAAGATTTCTGTGTACCACAAGATTTTGATTGCGACTCGAGTCCTCATCCGTGCTCTATTTTTTCATTAAAAATTAAGAATATAAACGTTTAAAATGTCTTATTTTCAGTAATTTCATTCCTTCTAACTACTAAAACTTAAATAAACACTAAAGTTACTTAATCTAAAAGAACTTTCTTACATTTTTAAGCTACGATTGCAATTCAAATATTCTAAAAGTACAGAAATTCCGTATAAGATGATGTTTAATAAATATAAAATAAATCTAGAAATGCATAAAAATTTAAATAAAATATCAAGAATTAAATTAAGTACTGGGGTAAATAATTATAAATTTATATCAGGAAAAGCAATAAATTTGAAGTACAGATTATGCTGAATATTTCACTACTCAGTAATCTCTTGGAATTTTATTTCCTAAAACTATTACAACTTATATAAAAATTATATTATTTAAAACTTTAAAAATTTCTGTACATTCTTGTTTCTGGTTGCGATTCGCACAAGCGCAAAAACCTACACAAACAAAGCAATCTGACTACTAAATTATAAATCAAACAGAGAATAAAATTATAGGAAATACATTAAAATTATAAATGATTAAAAATTAATATCAGGAGAAAGAATATTTATAAAATCTCAGGTTTAAACAGAAAATATATATCTATATTTTTTCAATATTTTAAAATTATGTATAAATGTATTAACCAAGGATCAATCTAAGAGATGGATTATTAAGAAGAACTTCTTAAATATTTGAAGAGAAGAATATAAAAATAGATCAGATCACATCCCAGGGAGGGAATGGGATGTGAAATTTTACTCGAAGGAACCTTATAAGTAGAATATTCTTTTTAATTAATATATTATACAGTAAGCGAGTATAACTACAAAAATTATTATACATTTTAAGCTTATCGTGTAGATTGTAACCAGTCATAAATTAGTCAACTTCATCTGGATTAAATCCGTGCAAGCCATTATAATAATGCTGTACATCGTTAAACTTTGCTCTTCTCCTGTTTTTTTTTTCCTCCTCCCTCTGTTTCTTCTCAATTTAATTTGATAATATTTAAGAGGAAACATATCTGCTAACTGTGGCTTTTTCTCTAGATACATTTACAACTATTCGAAAGACAAACTTTGCACTTTTAATATATCGAATGGAGCACTTGCCACCTTTAATGATACAGTTAATTTAGATTGGTTAGCGGCTAAACAGGCAATAAAGTTGGCATTTTTGCAAAACAAAGATAAGAAGAGAGAAGCGAAAAAAACAAAATTATATAGCTTATAAGCTTATATATATATATATATATAGAAATGGCCATCAATTCAGAAATCGTTCGAAGGAAGAGGAGGAATTGAAATGAATATTACACCGCTCACATCCGAACAAATGTAATTTGTGGCTAATTTACTGGGCGAGTAAATTTGATTTCGTCGACGATGTTGCTAAGTTATAATAACGAATGGAACTGCCGCCTTTGCTTGATGTTGAATTCTTAATGAACGTCCAAACGCTTCCACTAGATAGTGCCAGACTTTGGACAGAGAGGGGTGGGTTTGCAGCTGTGTATAGAGGGGGAAAAACACAACACCACCTCTTAAAATACAGTGTATGCAACTAAAAAGAAAACGGAGAGAGAGAGAAAAAGTTACAAGCTATTGCCAGGTTCATTAAGAGGAGAGAAATCAGTCGAGATGGACGTAAATTAGAAAAAATGTAATTTTCCACCCTCGGAAAAGGTTGTACCATCGTTAGAATGGCGCTTATACGAAAAAACTGTTCAAATAAAAACCAATTAATATAATCTTCGTGTAATTTTTTTTAATGTTTTGTCTTTGTTCTTCGGCATTTTGCGAATTAGTTTCTGTATTTTTATATTAAGAGAAAGTTTTGAAATTTTTGAATTTATAGTTTTCTTTCCTTGCAAGACTAATTGTAGCAGTGGCTCTCGGGTGATCGATTATCTTTCGTCGACGCTCATTTGTTGATGTAACTTATATCTGGATAACGTCTTAAGCTTCTACAAGAATAAATGGACGTTATTTGAATAGTCTATTGTCAAACATAACGTAGAATGAGTGGAAAGCCTCTCTCTCTCTCTCTCTTGCTTTAGAAATTATGCTTCATTAATGCAGCAAGGAAATATGTAGATATTTTAATTTAATTTCATCGTGTAATTATGATATTTAATCATATTTATCCGGGCATATTTTATTGCTTAACGTAAGTCAAATGACGTGATGGTTACGTGGAAAAAAAGTCAAGTATTGATGTCTTAATAACAGACATTACGGATTATTACTATGTAAGAGTGCGGCGAATTTTTTTCCGGTTTTCGATCGTTCTAACAGTAAGCGTTAACTTGTGATGATAATTTTATTTATTTATTTTTTTCTAAATCATTTCTTTATATTAAGCCATCTACAGCAGAAACTTAACTGACTCAAACAGTACAAAAATATAAGCCAATTCTTGTGTATTTATAAAATAACTCCCTCATATTAACAGGACCTATAAAGACGAAAGCACAGTTATTATAGAAGCAAGCGCATAAATACTATACATGACATACATGACGTAAGACACGAACGTAACAACCAACCACACACATCTTAGATACACGCAGTAACGGATCCAGAAATCTTTAGAGTGCAGAAACGATTCTATTTCTAGGATTTTCCCCGATTTACTTGGTAAAAACCCCTAGAAAGGGGATAAAGTAGTATCCTGCGTATTCCCCCGTAAATCCGCCCCCCGGATACACGCCATAGAAGTAACAGAACATAACACGTGTTCCCATATCGCTTTTACATATGAATTTCAATCGAAAACTGAACACATTTCTCCACAGAAACAAGATCCTTTCCCATCTACACCGCCGAAAAACACGGAATACACGTGTATATGCTCACTTTCTAATGCACTAATCGACAACTTAATTATCCAAAAAAAAAAAAAGAAAGAAAACAGCGTGCACAGAAAGGGAAGAGGAGGAAAAAGAGGAACAAGAAGATAAACATTTTCGATTTCCTCGATACCAAGAGAAACTATCCGCACAAAATTAGTTAAACAGCGTTTTACGACCATCCTTTAGTTATGCCCGAAATACCAACGGTGCAGAACAGAAAGGCTGTAGATCATCGTGAAGGCTCTTAAAACATCCAGCACCGCCATATAAAGCTGCGTAGTTTAATGAGAAGAGCGGCTATCTGCCGGCTTAATTGTGTTAAAGCTAAAGATTCTACAGCTTTAGATGTCTTTCGAACCGTCCCAAATGCACTCTCGAAATAAACTTTTACACAGGATGAACTTAGGAAACTCCTGCCACCTCTCCGATTTCCAATTCTCTTAATCATTGATTAAATGATTAGCTGGTTGACAACTAACACTGTTAAGATGAAAATCGATGAAATGAAAAGCCAGCCGACGTTTTAAAGCTATTTGTGATGGAAATATATTTTATCACATTATCCAAATCGTTGAAATACCAAAGGTATTTTTAAAATATTTATCTGTAGTAAAGGGGGATGAGAATAATATCACATGTTTACAAGAAAATTAAGAGAGAATTATCAAAATGTTTATCAGAAAATTCAATTCTAAAGGTGAGGAAGGTTGAAAGACCCTTCAAATATAAAATTATAAACATAAAAAGTACAAAAAAATATAAATATATATATATATTTTTTGAAAAATTCAATCCTTTCAAATGTAAATAACTGTAACAAGATCAAAAAGATTTTTTTAATTACAATTTTCTCTTCTCTTAATGAAATCTTATATTAGAAATTCTAATTTTAATCAAATCATTAAAATTAGTTAATGTAGTCAGAATTCTGGTAATTTAAGTAATATTTAGAAGAATTTCTTCATAATTTTGTTTAAGTTTTTTTCTTTTATTGTAACTAATTTTTTAAAAATGAGATCAGAAATTACAAATTAGTATATAAATTTAAGTTCTTGTATGTAAAATTCGATAAAGAATGATATTAAATACTAACCAAGCAGTTATAGAAACTTTTATTTTTAGTACCACTAATAAAACCACCAAACACTGGTGGAGTTTGACCTCACCAATGGAGTTGCCCTGTGAAGTTTTGAGTTTTCTTCACATGCCTAACACCTAAATAGGTCTGGACTATAATGCAACACTCGGCAGATCTGCCCACATGTTGCATTTCCTCATGGCATCACTCCACTCCAACTCTTTATTTAATATTTTACATAAAATTCTAAAGCTAATTATCAAAATCTATAATTATAAATGTAAAAAAAAAACTTCACATTCAAAAGTAAAGAAAAATAAAAGAATTTTAAGAAAACAAAATATAAATTAGTAAAATTAAATTGCAAGAATTTTATTTAATTAATTCCTTTAATAGAAAATTTAAATTAGAATGAAGAGCAAGATCATAATTAATAGTAGTAGTTTTAAGTATTACAAGATGTTACAAAAAATTATTTTACAAGAGAAAAAATTAATATTATAAGGATTTTACTTAATTCTTTTAACGAAGGATTTAAAATAAAAGGAGCATGATTATGAGAGGCAAGTAAAATTACAAGTTAAAAAAAAAATTTACAAATTCAAGAATTATTACAAGAAAGCTGAAGTTACAAGGAAGAAGGAATTATGAAAATTGCAAAGTGTTTAATGAGTAAGATTACTCATTAAACACACAGCAATTTTCATAATTTAGATTAATATTTATGCTTAAAGGATTCAGTTGTTACGAAACAACAAAAAAGGAAAAATTATTAAAAAGATAAAATAAAATAAAAGAAAAAAAAATCCTGTTTAATTTGATGTGACATATCAAAGCGACATTTATCAAAAAG